AAGGGTTGCATCTCTGACTTTCACTCTCTGCCGAGCTTGTTTCTAACGAAAGTGCCATTGGAACCCTCCATCCGAAGTCTATCTGCTTGTTTTTTGAATTCGTCAATAATGGCCTCCAGTGTAGCTAGGGTTTCACCATTCCTTCCTTGTTGTTTTCGAAAGGACTCTCCGGGTAAGGAACCTTTTCCTTGTCTTGCCCCTACAACCTTTGTTAGCTCAAAACGTTGACCTTTGGTGTGCTCGGCGAAAATCCCGGTCCAATCTGAGTATTCCTTACCATAGCTGGACATCTGAGCTTTTCATCTCTTGTATTATAACCCCTTTGTCTATTAATGTAGATTATTTATGCTTAACGAACACGTTTTTGGTGGATCAACACCTCTTTTGAATGAATGATGCAAAAGATGAAAGTAAAATAAAAGAGAAAAAAATGAAAAAAAGTTAGTGAGGTGAAAAAAACAATCATGAAAATAAAAGTCCTACCCCACATGCTTATTATTCCTACTCGGACATGATCTCTATCCCGCATGCTAATTTCAAGCAAATCCTAACCGCATATTTGTCTAGTTCGCATGCTTTGAACAGAAAGTAAATTAGGAAAGAAAGAAGTCTAGGGTTTGGAATGAGGTTTTGGGGTGGGCTCTAATTCCCTGTTTTCTCTCGGTTTAGGTTCTAAAGAAGGTACTCGAGTTCTCCTTACTGGTGCCCCCTTGGGCTTGCCAGACCCTTAGTCCTAAGTCCATTACAAGAATTTGTGGACTGAGTTAAACTCGAGAGGATACATTCTCTTATGCCCGCAGGGTGAATAAATTCACACGAAGACATAAGGTGTATGAATCCCGAAGGTTACTTGCCAGGCCCGCACGGAGAATAAATTCTCACGAAGGCATCGCTTTTACCACCACTTAAAAAGGTTATGAAAAACTTTTCAAAAATCTGAAATCATTGAAAAAAAATGTTAGTACAACTATTTATTTAAAAAAAATAATCAAAGGTAAATAATTGGAATTGAATAAATAAATTTAAATTTAAATTTACTATTTTCACATAAAAAGACAACCGAGAATTAATTCTGGCCTGACTCACTTACCTATCCCTAGTGGAGTTGCCAAGCTGTCAGAACCGTCTTTCGGTTGGACCGCAGAATTGGGCTTCGACGTGAATGAATTGGGTTAGAGTCGCCACTGACCATTTTAAAACGAATTTAGGTGGGTCAGACACCATCTTACCTGATCTACGTTGTACCACAAATGTGTCGAGTTCGGGAGTCGGTTACGGTCAAGGAAGGATTAGCACCCTTGAACCGCCCTTTTGGTACCAATTAGTTTGTTGGTTGTCTTTAATTGCGAAAAATTAGAAATTAAAATTAAAATTTAAAATACTCGATTTGAATTACTTACCTTTGATCATTTGAAATTACCACTGAAAATGTTGAAAAAATGTTAGAAGGTAAAATAAAAATAAATACGAAGGAAAAAGCGAAAGAGAAAAACAATATATATATATATATATATATATATTAATATAATAAAATAAAATAAATAGCAGGGATAAACAAAAGTTAATAAAAAAAGAAACAAAAAATAATAGAAAATAATAAAGTTATAATAAAACAAAAAAATAAATAAAAAAGGAAGGTTAGTTTAAAAAAAGGAAATAAAACAAAAAAAAGAAAAAATTAAAATAATCTAAAATATATTTATTACGAGAAAAAGGAAAATAATAATAAAAAACAAAAAAATATATACATAATATAAAAGAGGTATCAATTAAATAGTAAAAAAATGAAATAATATAGAACAAAACAGAAAAAGGATTATGTTGAATTAATAACAAAATAGGGTGTGAAATTAAGATGAATTCGGAGTACAAAACTAAAATGAGGGATCTAAATGAAATATTTAAAAAGAGAGGAGGACCAACAACATAGTTTACCCGTTATACTAAAACACGTGGACCCTACGATTTGGATCGGGTCATACTCGTGGGTCGGGTTGGCTTAATGGGTTGATATATAACCCACGTTTAACCCCCCCTATTTCTCATATTTCTCTCATTTTCCCTTATCCTCAAAATTGCCACACCCCATTCTCTCTCAATACTCCCAGACACGGCCACCGCCCGGCCGCCAACCATCGCATCGGCCATCGCATCGGCCGCCTGTGATCGTGGCTGGAAAAAACCCAAAGCCTCACCGAATGTCCCTCTCAATGTCATGAACCCAAAACTAGCCACCAAACCCCCAAAATCGACCCCAACAACTGTAGATCTAACATGTAAGCCTCTGTTTTCACCTTTTTCGTCGGTGACTTTCTAACTTCTAGCGGTCCTCCGGTTTTGAGGCTTGGCTCCTCTTGGTTCCCTTATGTTTTTATATGGTTTTTTCTTTGTGTTTCTTTCTGCTTGTGGTTCGATTTAGTGACGCTTGGTTGATGTCGTTGTGTGGATGGTACTGTGATGTGTAGTGTTCTCTGGCAATGTACTCTCGTTGATGCTTTTGGTTTAATGTTCTCGTGCTTTTCTGTGTGGTTCTCTGTCGATTTTAGGTACTGTTGTTTCTCGATGATAATGGGTTTTTGTCCTCTGTTGGTTTCCGATTGATGGCATTTATATAGCCCCGTTGGGGCTGTTTCCGGTGATTTCTGGAACGATCCCAGATATTATGGGGTTATTTGTTTGTGGTTGAACGGCCATCCCGGGATGGGTCAGTACCGGGATTTCGACCGGCTGTTTCGCGTGACCGTTCGACTTTCCCCCTATGCGGCGCCCCCTTGACTGAAAGGTGGAAAACTCTAGCTTGGACTCTGGGCTGGGTAGGCCTGTTTTGTGGACTGCTTGGACTGCATTTTTTTGTACATGGACAAACACCGAATAAAAAATAAGAAATAATAATAAAAATAATAATAATAAAAATAAATAAATAAATAAATAATAAAAATAAAATAAAAAATAATATACTTTTAAAAACCTATAATATATGGATTTCAAAAATGTTTTAAAAATTATATATTATATATGTTTTCAAAAATATTTAAAAAACTATATATTATATATTTTCAAAAAAATTTTAAAAAAAACTATATAATATATAAATGTTTTCAAAACTATATAATATATATATGTTTTCAAAATGTTTTAAAAACTATATATTATATAAATGTTTTGAAAAAATGTTTTAAAAACTATATAATATATAAATGTTTTCAAAACTATATATTATATAAGTGTTTTGAAAAATGTTTTAAACTATAAAATATATAAATGTTTTCAAAAATGTTTTTCAAAACCATATTATATATATATATATATTAAAAATGTTTTCAAAAACTATATAATATATACTTATTTTCGAAAATCGTTTTCCGAAAATTATACATTATATTTTGTCAAAAACATTTTCAAAAAATAAATAAATAAATAAATAAATAAATAAATATATATATATATATATATATGTGTGTGTGTGTGTGTATAAAAACAAAATAACTTCGGGCGAAAATTAGTGTCTACAGCAACTAATCTCGTTATTGCTCTTCTCATGTTTTAAATTCAAAATTATCTTTTGGGTTTCCAAAAGAATTCTTTCGCATTAGTGAGGGAATGTTTGTAATGCTTAAGGTTGTATGAGCACGTATCCCACATTAGGAAGGAAAATGCCTTTGGGAAGGTATTTATTGGGTACTGTTTTCCTTCCTTAGTGAATATGGTTAAACAACTTCCTCGAATGTGTGTGTCTCCGTTTGGTTGGCTCGGTTCGGTTTGTTGTCGTGGTCATGATAATACGTGTCTTCGATATGTATGTGCGCATTCTATCTTTTTAGAGAAAATTTGTAGGGATTTACTCTTCTATTTTCTAAAATTGTGAAATAGTGTTTTTCTTTGAATTTTATAGACCATAAAGATAATTTTGAAACAGAAAGTTTTATTGTTGTAATTTAATAGCACTATTACTGATTTTTTGTAGTTGCCAGCGTAACTTTTGGAGAGCTCTCTAACTGTTTCTAATAAGGCAGTACATGAACGATTTTATATCCTTTACGGTTGTTTGTTACAACTGTTAAGACACTTAATTCTAGACATTTATCTACTATTTAATAGTTGTTTTTACAACTATATTTTATGAGTGAATCTGGACAGGTTTGAGTAGAATTCATCCAGTTGTAGCATATTAATTACAGAAATTAATCAATGGTTTTTACAAAAATTAAATTAGAATTTTATTACTGATTTTGTTTAAATGGCATTTTTAACCCCATTTTCGTTATATAAAATATCTGGTCATTTTCAACTTTTTAAATTAGCTTAAGCACCTCCCCATTTTCTTAAAAAGCATGATCTTTCCTCTAAAAGTTTTCTTGAAAAAAAAAACTTTCTAACATTCTTTTCGTGCTAAGAGAAAGGCAGCATCACCGTTATTCCATTCAATGTTTCATGTGTATGAAATTTGGAGAGTCATGCTAATATCAGGGTGTCATTCGTCCATTGTAGTGGTTATACACATCGAGGTAAATTCACTTCTAAGGCAATGGTTAATACTACGACATGGTTGATCGATTTCTTGGTTATTTTCCAATCATTATTAACACCTCATTTTGCAATAGTCTATTTTCCAATAGTTTGTGTAGATATTCAATTTGTCCGGGGTCTTATTCAAAGCCCAAATTACAAAGGGTCATTTGATCCAATTCCAGCAACCCAACCCAAGACCCGTTTGGGGCCAGAACTGATCCAAGCCTAAGGGAAACCCTAAATTTTGATAAGGTTTCCATAACCCTCTAATGTTGCGCATCAGGAGTCGTTGGATTCAGGGAGATCCAACGGTATGCATGCTTTAGTCATTAGGGTTCTAGGACCCTTCAGTCGCCACCTTGAAGCGCAACCTTCGGATCTGGACCCATCCAACGGTCCAGATCACGTTCTGCTGCCAACCCATCTCGATCACTAAGTTGCCACCGCCGTTGGACCCAATTACGACGGTCGACCATCCCACGTGAACCTTAACAACCTGCAATATCAAGAGAAACACGACAGAAGACTCAGAACCAAGTTTCAAGGCAGCAAAACCCAAGTCAATGAAGATAAACTTGCAGTAGACTCACGGGATTTTGAAAGAGAAATCAGAAAGCAAAAAATATTGTAAAATCTGGTTCTATATAGACCAGAACCAAAATGTTGTAAGGGGTTGGACCCTCAGATATTTTTCCAGGGAAGAAAAAGCAATAAATATCAAATATTTAAGAAAAAACTGAGAGTCATCAGCGAGGGAGAGGAACAGCAAATAGAAAGAAAACGAAAATCAACCAGAAACCAACAGGAAGAGAAACCATTTTAAAAAAGCCTTAGAGATCCACTTTCAATCCATCAGTAACCAAAAAGGGACGAGAGCGAAGAAACTCACCTTTAAGTACTCACTGCCTTTGTTAAGAGTCCAGAACCCGCTGTAAGAAGGTAAAACCCTTCACCTTCTGTGTTTCCCAGCCGTGCATGACGTTTTGGGTCTCGGGTTCAGGGGTTTTGTTGGGTTCTGGGTAGGACCGTCTAGGCGGGGCTTGTGTGGCTCCCCATCGGAGCCGTTGAACGGCGGTTGCGAAGGTTTCTGTTAGGGTGGGATATAAGGCTCGGGTTCGTTTGGTTAGCAGCGGGTTTTGAGAGCTATGTCTCGGGTTAAGGTTTGGTTTTAGGTAGAGGTCTGCTTCGAGTTATCGTCGGGGCTTGTGTGGCTCCCCATCGGAGCCGTTGAACGACGGAGGCCGCGGTGGCCTTCTGTCTCGTTTAGGGTTGAGAGACGGGAGAGCAGAGAGGATATGGGAGAGGCAGAGAACGGCGAGGGGATGTATTTTCTGGATGGAGAGGGAAATGAGTTTAGGTTAGGAAATTTACCCTAATTTCCACTATATTAATATGTCAAAACGACGTAGCTTTGGGTAGTGTTGAAACGACGGCGTTTTGTTATCGTGGGAAAATATCCCGTGTTTTGAGGGAGGGGTTAATCTCGTTCAGGGCCCATAGATTTTAAGTCCATTTCGATTTGGTCCCAAAGTGACTTTGCTGTTTTCTGATTTTGGCCTTAAATTTCCAGCGGTTTACACGTTAGTCCTGAATCCTGCTAGGCCGATTTTATTGTTGTTTTTACATTGGATGCATAGTTTTAGAAACTTGCATTTTGATCCTATGTAATATTTTGGTTATATCATGTTTGGACTGCCCAGAAATGAAAATGTTATGAAAAGATCCTGTGATTTAGTTTCTTTGTATTTTAGTCCTATGTTTTGTTGTATTTAAATCTTTTTTGTCTTAAACATTTGACATCCACATTTTTGTATGTTGCATTTTAGTCCTGAGTGTGTTTTGTTTTATTTTGTTTTTAGTCCCTTGTAATGAGAATAGTTTCATTTCAGTTCTTAGTATTCAGTACGGTATAATGCTAGCATTTCTACCTTAATTTGTATTTTATTCATAAGTAGGATATTAAAGTTTAATTTAAATATAATTATTTTCTGAAATTTTATAATTTGTTATGCTATGTTTTCGTTGGTTGTGTTTAGGCCACCTTTGTCATTAAGTATAGCTATGTATAGATATATATATATATATATATATATATATATATATATATATATATATATATATATATATATATATATTTTATAAAATATGTATGTGATCTTTATTGAAATATCACATTCCGAGCATGTTGTTAGTGTTTGTATATTTAGGTGTAGTTTTTATGCATGTTTAGCCTCATGTGCATGACTCGATCTAATCACATAATCGGAATTAAGGGTAATGCCCTTTTAATCTAAAATTATCAGAATGGCTTTCCTTAACTTACAGGAAAGTTGTTTTGACGATTTTAAATTAAAATGGTATCCCGTCAGTAACGCCTAATTAAATTTGGATATATCATTGTAAAATTTGGGAGAGAAAGAAAAGGAAATATTCGACTATTTAAACTTTTCGAGAAAAGCGATATTTTTAAATAATCGAATATTCTTTATCTTTCTAATGACTTGGTAATTTTAAATTAAATCTATTTTGTTGCTTTGAATGTTGCAAATTTGCATGTTTGTCGTTTAAAGGGATCATTAATCAAATCAAATTTGAACTTGTGAAATTCGTTGCAAAGAAATTAATTAATCGACTAGGTACCGATTTAAGGCGTTGTGGGGGTGCTAATCCTTCCCCACGCGTAACCGACTCCCGAACTTGGATTTTGGTAACGTAGACCGTAAATTTGTCGTTTTAATTAAAATTAATTTTTATTTAAAATGACAATGTTTTTTGGGTGCTCAATCACACCCTAATCAAAGATTGGTGGCGACTCCTCGAACCTTATATTTTTATCGTAAAGGAATTTCCAATTTTTCGAAACGAGAGGTTTTCTAAAATCGCACTGTTTTTAATTAAAAATCCAATTGAAAAGATAATAATTAAAAATGACGCGGTTTCCAAAATCACCCCGCCGTTTAAAAATCGTTTCGACAGCTTGGCGACTCCGCTGGGGACACTTTTAGAGAGTCAGGCCTATAGTCGATTAATTAATTGTCTTTGCAAACGAAAGTTATAAGTTCGCTTTGATTTGGTTTTTGATCCCTTATTTGTTTGAATTGTTTTGGGTGCATCTTAATTTGTAATTTGGGTTAATGAGTAAATAGTTGTACTAATGTGTGATCTACATGTTTTCAGTTTTCTGACTTTCACTTTAGTCTATTGTTTCTCTTGGATCGAGGCAAAGGATTATGAGTTTCCCCACTGTTGCTGTAAACCTTTAATATTTAGAGCATTCTTACTGTGCTCTATCCCGTTAGGTAGGGGTGAACGCTACGCTTACGTGAGAAAAATTATTTTTCTTCGCATGGGCTTTAGCAAGTAACCTCTGGGGTACATGCCTTATGTTTACGAGTGAAACATTGAGTTTCCTCGCATGGACATAGGGAAATGTATCCTCTCGAAATTGAACTTGATACGTTTTAAGCCTATAATGGGCGAGGATCGAGGGTCTGGCAAGCCCAAGGGGGCACCAGCAAAGGACAATTCGAGGACCCTTTTAGAAATACTGAAACTCTGCCCATCTTATGTCGAATCTCTGTCCGCAGACACAAAGGGGAAACTCATTCTAACTTTTCCCTCGAATTTATTTGTTGCAAAAAAGCATGTGAATTAGATACCATGCGGTTAGGATTTTTTATGAATAACGAAACCTGAGAGTAGATACCATGTTGGGTAGGATCTACTAAAGCATGATTGGGTATATATCATGTTGGGTAGATATCATGTGAATAAGGTTTAAGATGTATATATTTTCTATCTCCATGTTGTTTATGTATTCTTCGACTATTCATTGTATATACTAACACAGTTTTATTTTTGTTTGTGTTTTGTGTTTTATTTATTACTGCTGCATTGCATCATCATTCATGAAGAAAGGTGTTGATTCACAAGGTGGTCATAAAAGTAGAAGGCGGTCATAAAATGGACAAGAGCTTTCATAACAAGGAAGTGGATAACGCAGAAGTGAGGTCGTGGTCCGAGGAAAATCAGAGGAAAAAAGGTGACAGTTTGACTGAAGATTACATATCAGTACTACCAGAGGTTGCTCCGGTCAGTCTAAAGCAAAACGATTTGCAAGAGTTACGCGAAATTTGGGAAAGTTGGAATTCTGGTGTGAAATACTCTTTCTGGCAAAAGTATGGTGACATCGCCCTTCTGTTGTACGTAAAAGTAAACGAACCCCTAATCAAAGATCTCGTCCAGTTTTGGAATCCCGCATATAGCTGCTTCACTTTCAACAAGGAAGACATGACTCCCACGTTAGAAGAATACACCTCCTTGTTTCATTTCGAGACGATACACTTGGACCGAATCTACTCAAAAGCCTCAAGGACACAATCCTTTAAGAGCAAGCTCGCAAGGATTACTGGGATGGGAGAGAAGTGGGTTGCTGATCGAATCGAAAAGAAGGGAGAGTCCGATTGCTTCCCTTGGTCATGCCTCAAGGAGCTCATTGTCAAGCATAGCGATATCGAGAAGAGCATGGAGATGTTCGCCTTGGGAATTTATGGTTTGATGATTTTCCCGAAAGTTCTTTATCACGTGGAAGCCGCAGTGGTCGATTTATTCGAGCGTTTGGAAAGGAAGATAAACCCTGTTCCTGCGGTTTTGGCTGAAACATTCAGAGCACTTAGCAGTTGCAGAAGAGCTGAGAGTAGCCGCTTCACCGGGTGTGTCCAGTTGCTTACTGTTTGGATACGCAGTCACTTCTGGAAAATTGACCGAGAGTATAGTCGACGGTTTTCTACGGCCTATTCACCCTTAAAAGATTTCCTCACTAAAGAGTGGCCAGAGCATCTCACCAGGAAGGATTGGGTCTCACTCTTCAGAAATTTACAGGAGCATGATATAGTGTGGCGTGTCCCCTGGTTAGCTTTTGTGGATGTCTTGTACAAATGCGGGGATTCCGATTGGGTAACCCTATTAGGGTTATGGGGTGGAGTAGGTTATGTGCCACTGATGGTACTGAGGCAATTTGGGGCACGCCAATTCATCCCAGCTACATCCGGTCTGAAGGCATCTGAGTTTGTGTACTGTGGAGATCACTACAAGAAGACTGCTCGTGCAATGTCAGATGCGTGGAAGTCAACCTTTAGAACTGATTTCGTAGTAGCTGAGGTCATGCTGACCCCAGATTACGTGGCATGGAGGGCGGTGCGAAAGAATGATATCCTTCCGTTGGCGGATCGTAACCAAACAATTCCTTTGGAAGCACAGTTTAAATACGTACCGTCTAAGTTGGAGATACTAAAGAGTGAATTCGAAGCGGAAATCGCCAGGAAGGAAGCAGAGTGTGAGGCCCTTAGACAAAAGAATTTCATGTTGGACATCGATAGGGGGTTCTATAATACACAGTTTGAGCTTATGCGCAAGAGAAAGGATGAAGTGGAGGCCAATCTCACTAGTTTACAGAGCGATTACCAAAAGATGAGTCGAGCACGGGCAATTGCTGGCCTCGGGAGAACTTCAGAGCAGTGGCGGTTAGAGCTCCGGGCTGAGAGGGATCGTCGAGATAGAGACGTCAGAGCCGAGAGAGAGCACCGATTCAGAGAAGTAGAGACAGAGAAGAAGAAAAGAAATCAAGAACTTGAGTCCGAGAGAAGGTCCTGGGTTAGGGCACTGAAGAGCGAAAGGACAGAGGCTAAAGAGTTAAGACAAAGGTACACCTTGAGCAAGAAGCGAGAAGAAGAATTGCATGCTAATATTGAAGAACTCATAATGAAGGCAAATAACATGCAACTTGAACTTGAGGTTAGAAAGCAAAGAATCGACGAGCTCGAAACTGAGAAGAGGCAAAGCAAAGAAGAGCTAAAATTAGAAAGGCAACATCGAGAGAGTGTGCTCCAAGGCAAACAGGATGAAGTATTCCTCTGGATACAGAGGTGCGGAGCAAAGAACGAACGGATAGAGGTACTCAATCAAGAGATGCATGAAATGGAATCAAGGCATGAGGAAGAGTTAGCTCGAGCCAAGGCAAAGAATGAAGAGTACAGTGCCTACGTTATGCAGCTTGAAAGTTCCTTATCTGCAGAAAACAGTCAGCGTTGCCCAGTGGATCAAAGGGTTAGCCTCGAGGAGAACGCTGCTTTGCAAAAGAAGATTCATGATTTAGAGGCTGCCTTACGAAGCTGCCAGACACAAATCGCTGGTCTCGAGCGCACCGTCCAAGGCACCAGACTGCAATGGCAAAACTCAAACGATCACTTTAGAGACTGGAAGACAAACGTGAATCACGTGATCCGAGAGACCATGAATCAGTTAAGCGGCGTTGCGAGGCAGTTGGGAGAGATGGACCTCCAAGCAAAAGTCATCCAGAGCTATGCCAATCCAGCATCAGGCGTAGGAAAGAGGGTCGATTGGCTTGTCAATCAGATAGTAGAGCTGAACATGAGAGCTAGGCCATTTCTGTAGTGGACTTTTCTTGTAAAGATGATGCTTTTGTCCTAAATGAAAGTTGTTCTAAGACTGATCGCGTCTTATGAATCAATTCCTTTCTGCATGCATTTGCATTTTATTTGCAATTTAAGTTTTGTATTGCATTTTTATCGCACTTTACATAATTTGCATTCATCCTCGAAGCATTAAAATTAACAATAAGGGATACATTACAGAATACTGGGAAATTTCAAGCATCACTATAACACAAGGAAGGCCATGGATGATAAGATTGCTCAAATCGAAAGAACTCAACTGCAATTGCAAGATGATCTAAGGAAAATGCAAGAAGATATGCTTAAGGCTCAAGAGGATATGTTGTCTAAGTTGGCAAATATGCTGGGAGGGAGAAATCCAGAGCACGGAAAGGCCCATGAGCAAACAAGTGAAGAACCACTTTACCCTCCAGGGTTTACCCCGGTACAGTCTCCGAATATCCAAGGAACATCTATCCATACCAAAGTACACATAAATCCCGACGGCGTTGCAGTTAATCCACAACCGGGATCTTGTTCGCATCCCGAAGAAAGCCCATATCACCAGGTCCCGGACCTTGATGAAGAAGCAAAAAAGAGCGAAAACAAGTTGTTGCAGGAGCAATATAAGCAGCTAGCAAATGAAGTACAAGCTATGAAAGAAGATACCAGCTTGTATGGTCTCGACGCTAAGGAACTGAGTTTAGTTCCTGATCTGGTCCTACCTCCCAAGTTCAAAACTCCTGACTTCGAGAAATACGACGGTACCCAATGCCCTTCTGCCCATATCACAATGTTCTGCAGGAAAATGACTGGTTACGTAGGGGACGACCAGCTGTTGATCCACTGTTTCCAGGAAAGCTTAGTGGGCTCAGCATTGCGATGGTATAATCAACTAAGGAGAGTTGATGTCAGGACGTGGAAAGACCTGGCCAAATCTTTTCTTGACCAGTATAAGCATGTGAAGGACGTCAGGCCTAACAGAATGGTGCTGCAAGCAATGGAGAAAAAGCATAGTGAAAGTTTCAGACAATATGCTCAGAGGTGGAGAGAGGTAGCAATACAAGTCCACCCACCGTTGGTAGAGGAGGAAACGAACCTACTTTTTGTTAATACCTTGAAGGCCCCATTTTTCTCACATTTTGTTGGTAATCCTTCTCGAAGTTTTGCTGATATAGTTACGGCGGGAGAAATGATTAAAATGGCGATTAAAAGCGGGAAGCTTGAGGGAGGAGATTCCAGCAATAAACAGCTGATGAGGAAGAAGGAAAACGAAGTCAGCAACGTAAGGCAGTATGATTCCCATAATATCACAGTGTCCCGACCACAGGGAACGGTAGCATCACCCCAAATTGACAATAGGCAAGGGGCAAGAGATCCAAGGAGAGAGAGGCCTCAATTTGATCTGATTCCTATGACTTATAAGGAGTTATTCCAGGAATTATATGATCGACATGTAGTCTCACCTTATCATGTGGACCCTATACAACCCCCGTATCCCAAGTGGTATGATGCTAGTGCTAAGTGCGAATACCATGCAGGGGTTTCCGGACATTCTATTGAAAATTGTCCCGCTTTCAAAAAGGTCGTCCAAGCTCTGAGAAGAAGAAACGTCATCAATTTTGGTGACAGCGAACATCCAAACATAGCCCAGAATCCATTGCCAAACCATGCAGGAGCCAGGATTAATGCAGTCGCTGAAGAGAAAGGAAGAATGACTGTAAAAAATATTAGTGAGGTGATGTCACCCATGTCTTGGGTGTGGTGCCAAATGGTCAAGGTAGGACTATTAAAGACTAATCTACCGTGTGAACAGTTCAACAATGAAGAGATGTGCCACTACCATAACTGCACGAGACACAGTATACAACAGTGTTCTGATTTCTTAGGGCTGGTACAAAAGATGATGGATAGTAAGGAAATCGAGTTCTTCAAAGAAGTGGCTGAGAAAGAAGAAGCGGAAGTTTACGCCTCTGAAGGATCATCCAAAGGGGTCTATAGTGCTAGTTGTCCCCTCGTCATTACTCCCAAGAATCGAGTGGCTGGGAAGGTAGCTCCAAAGGTGATTATTACACCTCCCTCTCCGTTCCCGTACAAAGACAATAAACAGGTACCCTGGAGATATACTTGTCAAATAGGAGAGGTGACAAAGCAACAGGAAGAGGTAGATGAAGTGGGACACATGACCAGGAGTGGTAGATGTTATCACAAAGAACCTGAAAAAAAGATTGCTGTCGAGAAAGGAAAAAGTATCGATGTGCAGATAAGAGAAGATGAACCCATCGTCAATGAGCCAGTAACGGAGAATGAAGCGATGGAATTTTTAAAATTTTTGAAACATAGTGAATACAGTATTGCTGAGCAATTGCACAAGTTGCCTGCCCGTATTTCTGTCCTATCACTTCTTCTGGGTTCAGAGGCTCATCGCAACGCCCTGTTAAAGGTTTTAAACCAAACCTTTGTCCCGAAGGAGATACCCACAGAAAAGCTGGACCGACTAGTTGCCAACATCCAGGCCGATAATTTTTTATCTTTTTCTGAGGATGAGATCCCTTCTGGGATGATTGGCAATCATAAGGCCCTACACATCACAGTTAGGTGCAAAGGGCATGTTCTATCCAGAGTACTGATAGATAACGGTTCAGCGTTAAATGTGATGCCCTTGGTGACCCTGAAAAAACTGCCAGTGGACATCACCCTGATGAGAAGCTGTCAAAGTGTGGTTCGAGCCTTTGATGGAACGAAGAGAGAAGTTCTAGGCAAGATCGATATCCCTTTGACTATTTGCCCGGCGATATACGAAGTGGAGTTTCTTGTGATGGACATCATGCCTACATACAACTGCTTATTGGGAAGACCATGGATTCATCAGGCCGGTGCGGTTCCGTCAACGTTGCACCAAAGGATAAAATTTGCAATTGATGGGAGGCTTATATGCATTCATGCTGAAGAAGACATTATTGCTTCAGTTTCTACTACTGCTCCATACGTCGAAGTGGAAGAGCAAGCTGTTGAATGTTCTTTCAGATCATTGGAATATGTCAATGCCATGTTTGTGGCAGAAGGAAAGAAGATCCCGAAGCCTAGATTGTCAAACTGCACTAAAATGGGGCTTAAGCTGACTCTTGGAAGAGGAGCAAAAACTGGCAAAGGGTTTGGACGTCGGTTGCAAGGACTGGTGGGCCCAATCTACCCTGTAACTAAAAGAGATAGATTCGGTTTAGGGTATCAGCCGACTTTAAAAGAAAAACTGAGAAGCATCAAGAAGATTCAGGAATTGAGAAAGGCAAGATTGACTGGTGAGAACCCGAGCTGGGAGCCCATGACATTCCCGCCATTGAGCAGCATTTTCGTATCAGGAGGATATATGTTTCAAGGGACTTTGGAAAGCAGTAAAGTGATAGTTGAGAATGCTTTGGAGGACTTGGGCATTAATGTCATAACCGATGAGGAGTTCAAAGAAATGAGAGCTACGGGCATTTACCCTGCGCCACTGGGCTTTGTGTTGAACAACTGGACTGCGGAGGAATTGCCTGTAGTTTACAAATCTTTTGCAGAGTAATACACTAGAACTCTTCCCTATTGTTCATACCCTGGGACAGTAGGTGATTTGATGTAAAGGGTTAAGTTGTGTGTTTTTACTTGCTTTCAATAAAAGATGTGTTTTGTTAATTCCCAAATGGCAAACATTTCCTCATGCATTTTTGTTTGAATATACGCAAATATTATTTCTTCTATTTGTTTATATGGGAAAAGATTCTCCCATATGTATATATGTATATATATATATATATATATCTTCTTTTTTGTTACCCTTTCAGGAACTCAGATATCAATAATACGAATGCTAATGACTCTGACCCCGGAGATTGATTTCGAGATGCCCATATGTCAAGGGGAAATCGAAGGTTGCGATGATGATGAAGGATGTGAACCACCCTCAGAATTACTAAAGATGGTGGAACAGGAAGATGAGCAGATTCTGCCTCACGAAGAGCTTACAGAGATCTTGAACCTGGGCACAGATGAGGATAGAAAAGAAGTAAAGATTGGAACCACCCTGTCTGCTGAAGGAAGGCAAAGCTTGATAGAATTACTTCAAGAATTCAAGGATGTATTTGCTTGGTCCTACGAGGACATGCACGGGCTGGATACAGAATTGGTTGTCCATAAATTACCAATAAAGCCTGATTGTAAGCCCGTACAACAGAAACTGAGAAGAATGAGACCCGAGATGCTGCTCAAGATTAAAGAAGAAGTGAAGAAACAATTTGATGCTGGGTTTCTCACAGTGGCCAAATATCCTGAGTGGGTAGCAAATATTGTCCCAGTACCAAAGAAGGATGGGAAGGTACGAATGTGTGTCGACTATAGAGATCTGAATAGAGCTAGTACAAAGGATAATTTTCCTTTGCCACATATAGATACGTTAGTGGACAATACTGCTGGAAATTCCTTATTCTCATTTATGGATGGTTTCTCCTGCTATAATCAAATTAAAATGTACCCTGAAGATATGGAGAAAACAACGTTTGTCACTATGTGGGGGACGTTTTGCTATAAAGTCATGCCGTTTGGATTAAAGAATGCAGGGGCAACCTATCAGAGGGCCATGGTGACGTTGTTTCATGACATGATGCATAAAGAAATTGAAGTCTATGTCGATGATATGATTGTCAAAGCCAAGACGGAGGAGGAACATACCGAGAATTTGAGGAAGCTCTTTCAAAGATTAAAGAAGTGCCAACTAAAACTTAACCCAAATAAGTGTACTTTTGGGGTGACATCGGGAAAACTGTTGGGATTCGTAGTGAGCCGAAAGGGAATTGAAATAGATCCCGATAAAGTAAAAGCCATTCAAGATTTGCCAGCCCCAAGAACACAGAAAGAGGTTCGAGGATTTTTGGGGAGATTAAATTACATCGCTCGATTTATCTCGCAGCTGACCGAAAGATGTGATCCCATATTCCGCCTTCTTCGTAAGAATGATTCAGGAGAATGGAGTGAGGATTACCGAGAGGCTTTTGAGGCAGTAAAGTGATATCTTTCGAATACTCCGATCCTAGCGCCACTTATCCCAGGAAAGCCTTTAATTCTTTACTTGTCCGTTTATGACAATTCAATGGGATGTGTGTTGGGGCAACATGATCAAACTGAGAAGAGGGAGAGGGCTATCTACTATCTCAGTAAGAAGTTCACTGAGTGTGAGGCCAAATACTCACCAATTGAAAAATTGTGTTGCGCTTTAGTGTGGGCTACCAGAAGACTTAGACAGTATATGTTGTATCATACTACCTGGCTCATATCTAAGCTGGACCCTTTAAAGTATCTAATGGGGGTACCTGCATTGTCGGGAAGGTTATCCCGTTGGCAAATCCTGTTGTCCGAATTTGATATCCAGTATGTAAGCCAGAAGGCAGTTAAAGGGAGCGCCATAGCAGAATTCATTGCGAGTAGGGCTTCAAAAGAATATGAACAGTTGAACTTCGATTTCCCGGATGAGGATTTAATGGCTATCTCGGAGGAAGAAACAATTGCTCTCACCGGTAAATACTGGAAGATGAACTTTGATGGTGCTTCAAACGCCTTGGGGCATGGGATTGGGGCAATCTTGGTCTCACCAAGTGAAGAGCATTATCCTTTTACCAGTCGGCTCAATTTTGATTGTACAAACAATATGGCTGAATATGAGGCTTGTTTTATGGGTCTTAGAGCAGCTATTGAACTCAAAGCAAAAATACTGAGGGTATATGGGGATTCAGCTTTGGTAATTTACCAGCTCAGAGGTGAATGGGAAACCAAGGATCCCAAACTTGTGGAATATCGTAAATTAGTTCTGGGACTTATTGAAGAATTTGAAGAAGTGACTTTCAATTACCTCCCCAGAGAAGAAAATCAAATGGCGGACGCCTTGGCTACTTTGGCAGCAGCCTTTAAGATGAACGAGCATTCAAATATGATGCCTATTGAGATGAAGGCTTATGAGTATCCAGCCCACTGCTTTAACATTGAAGAAGAAGATGATGAAGGACCTTGGTACTATGATATCTTCCAGTATATAAGATATCAAAGTTACCCCGAACAGGCAACTGAGAATGACAAAAGGACCATTAGAAGAATGGCAGCAGGGTATGTGCTTAATGGTGAGATCTTATATAAGAAAAGCATGGATCAGGTCTTATTAAGGTGTGTGGACACTAAAGAAGCGAAAATGATTCTTGAAGAAGTACATGAAGGAATATGTGGCACCCGTGCTAATGGGCATGTAATGGCCAGACAGATTATGAGATTTGGGTATTATTTGTCAACTATGGAAACTGATTGCATCAATTTTGCCCAAAAGTGTCACAAGTGTCAGATTTATGGGGATAGAATGCACACCCCTCCTCATCCGTTGCACGTGATGACAGCTCCGTGGCCGTTTTCTATGTGGGGCATGGATGTTATTGGGCAAATTTTTCTAAAAGCGTCAAATGGTCATCGCTTCATTCTGGTAGCAATATATTACTTCACCAAGTGGGTAGAAGCAGCTTCCTATGCAAGTGTTACCCAGTCAACGATATGTAGGTTCTTGAAGAAAGAAATCATCTGCAGATATGGCTTACCAGAGAGAATTATCTCTGACAATGCGTTGATCTTAAACAACAAGATGATGAAATCTGTATGTGAGCAATTCAAAATAAAGCATCATAATTCCACGGTTTATCGCCCAAAGATGAATGGGGCAGTGGAGGCGGCTAATAAGAACATTAAGAGGCTTATAGAGAAGATGACTGAAACTTATAAAGATTGGCATGAGAAGTTGCCATTTGCTCTGTTTGCCTATCGGACTTCTATACGGACGTCTACTGGGGCAACTCCGTTTTCTCTAGTTTATGGGATGGAAGCTGTCCTCCCTATTGAAGTGGAAATTCCCTCGCTCTGGGTTTTATCAGAGGTGAAGCTAAATGAGGCAGAATGGGTACAGGCCAGATATGACCAATTGAATCTGATTGAAGAAAAGATATTGAAGGCTATTTGTCACGGTCAGATATACCAGAAGCGGATGATACGAGCACATGATAAGAAAGTTCGCCCTCGAGAAATCCATGAAGGAGATTTGGTGCTCAGGAGGATATTGCCCATTCAAAAAGATTTCCAAGGGAAATGGATGCCCAAGTGGGAAGGACCATATGTTGTCAAGAAAGCTTTCTCTGGGGGAGCTCTGGTCTTAACTGAGATGGATGGGTCTGAATTACCTCATCCAGTGAATTCTGACGCAGTTAAGAAGTATTTTGCTTGAAGAAAAAAGAAGAAGAAGAAATGAGTGAAAATGAAAAAATGAAAAAATAAAAAAAATGAAAAATGAATGAAAAAATGAAAAAATGAGGGTTCAAGATGAAAACTCGAAAAAGGGCGTCTTGAAACCAAAGGAGGTCGAGTCGAAAACCCGCAAAGAGCGATTTGAGTTTTAAATTCAGAGTTCGTGTATGGTGGAGGATCTGAATTGTTTTTGGGGAGTAGGAAGATCTCCTGACATGGGTAACGACAATGGCCATTGGGGTTGAGACCAAAGATCAATGAGTCTCGATGGGGACAACCAGAGGAGGAATTGAATGCACGTGAGATTCAATATTGGTTTATGGCATCCAATAATGGGAGATTTTGGGGTCCAGAAAGGGTTTCGCACTCTTAGGTGTCATCACCATTTTGGAGGTCCTTTTGACAGAAGCTACACTCGAGTCATTCTGACGGCGTGCCAGTTCAAAAGCATTTGTGTTATTGATATTTGAAGACACCTATCCTTTTTTTTCTTTTCCGATTAAAAGTTTGTCATGTAGTTGCCTAAAAATTCTTCGCCATTTATATAAATAAAGAGATATTTTCCCTTCTTAATTTCCCTTTTACAAGCATCTAATTTTGAGAAAGTTAAAACGCATAGCTTAACTTGTGGTACATGAGATCATTTTGTATTATTATGCAAAAGGTTCTGGAAATGCATGTATTCTGAAGCTAGCAATGGTTTTACCCATAAGCTTGTATGGTTGCGAAAAGCTAAAACTTTGGAATTCACAGACAATCTTAGCCATTAATAGATGACCCAAAGAAATTGTCATTTATCGAGAAGTTGGTCACGTGTGCCGGCAGGTTTCAAGAAAGAAAGAAGTCAAAGTCCGGTCAAGCCAAAAGATATGGTATTGAGAGTGTTAGCTGGGGTGAACTGGTCAAATGCTCTGTACCCGAAACAAAATCGAGTTCTATTGAAATCAAAAGATATGAGGTTCCTTCGAAGAAGAAAACGCGTTAAATTGCACATTTGCATACATTTTAGGCATGAATAGGATCATGACATTGCATGGTGACTTAAATATTTACAGGTTTCCCAGCGATCGTTGAAGATTGTTCGAGTCTTATACTCTCTGAAGAAATAGGGAGCAGACGCGACTGTTGAAGATTGTTCGAGTCTTATACTCTCTGCAGAAATAGGGAGCAGACACGATTGATGAAGATTTTTCGGGTCTTATACTCTCTGAAGGAATGGGGAGCAGACACGATTGATGAAGATTGTTCGAGTCTTATACTCTCTGAAGGAATGGGGAGCAGACACGATTGATGAAGATTGTTCGGGTCTTATACTCTCTGAGGAAATAGGGAGCAGACACGATTGATGAAGATTGTTCAAGTCTTATACTCTCTGAAGGAATGGGGAGCAGACACGATTGATGAAGATTCTTCAAGTTCCCGCTCCCTAAAAATGAGGGAGCGAACCCGTTTTCCGAATATTTTTCAAGTCCCACTATCCTGAAGTTGCGGTGAAACGGATTAATCTTTTGAATATTTCATGACCAGACAAATTTGTCCATCTATTGATCTTTGCTCTATTCTCGTTACACGACAATGAGCAAAGAGGGGCAGCTGTAGATATTCAATTTGTCCGGGGTCTTATTCAAAGCCCAAATTACAAAGGGTCATTTGATCCAATTCCAGCAACCCAACCCAAGACCCGTTTGGGGCCAGAACTGATCCAAGCCTAAGGGAAACCCTAAATTTTGATAAGGTTTCCATAACCCTCTAATGTTGCGCATCAGGAGTCGTTGGATTCAGGGAGATCCAACGGTATGCATGCTTTAGTCATTAGGGTTCTAGGACCCTTCAGTCGCCACCTTGAAGCGCAACCTTCAGATCTGGACCCATCCAATGGTCCAGATCACGTTCTGCTGCCAACCCATCTCGATCACTAAGTTGCCACCGCCGTTGGACCCAATTACGACGGTCGACCATCCCACGTGAACCTTAACAACCTGCAATATCAAGAGAAACACGACAGAAGACTCAGAACCAAGTTTCAAGGCAGCAAAACCCAAGTCAATGAAGATAAACTTGCAGTAGACTCACGGGATTTTGAAAGAGAAATCAGAAAGCAAAAAATATTGTAAAATCTGGTTCTATATAGACCAGAACCAAAATGTTGTAAGGGGTTGGACCCTCAGATATTTTTCCAGGGAAGAAAAAGCAATAAATATCAAATATTTAAGAAAAAACTGAGAGTCATCGGCGAGGGAGAGGAACAACAAATAGAAAGAAAACGGAAATCAACCAGAAACCAACAGGAAGAGAAACCATTTCAAAAAAGCCTTAGAGATCCACTTTCAATCCATCAGTAACCAAAAAGGGACGAGAGCGAAGAAACTCACCTTTAAGTACTCACTGCCTTTGTTAAGAGTCCAGAACCCGCTGTAAGAAGGTAAAACCCTTCACCTTCTGTTGTTTCCCAGCCGTGCATGACGTTTTGGGTCTCGGGTTCAGGGGTTTTGTTGGGTTCTGGGTAGGACCGTCTAGGCGGGGCTTGTGTGGCTCCCCATCGGAGCCGTTGAACGGCGGTTGCGAAGGTTTCTGTTAGGGTGGGATATAAGGCTCGGGTTCGTTTGGTTAGCAGCGGGTTTTGAGAGCTATGTCTCGGGTTAAGGTTTAGTTTTAGGTAGAGGTCTGCTTCGAGTTATCGTCGGGGCTTGTGTGGCTCCCCATCGGAGCCGTTGAACGACGGAGGCCGCGGTGGCCTTCTGTCTCGTTTAGGGTTGAGAGACGGGAGAGCAGAGAGGATATGGGAGAGGCAGAGAACGGCGAGGGGATGTATTTTCTGGATGGAGAGGGAAATGAGTTTAGGTTAGGAAATTTACCCTAATTTCCACTATATTAATACATCAAAATGACGTAGCTTTGGGTAGTGTTGAAACGACGGCGTTTTGTTATCGTGGGAAAATATCCCGTGTTTTGAGGGAGGGGTTAATCTCATTCAGGGCCCATAGATTTTAAGTCCATTTCGATTTGGTCCCAAAGTGACTTTGCTGTTTTCTGATTTTGGCCTTAAATTTCCAGCGGTTTACACGTTAGTCCTGAATCCTACTAGGCCGATTTTATTGTTGTTTTTACATTGGATGCATAGTTTTAGAAACTTGCATTTTGATCCTATGTAATATTTTGGTTATATCATGTTTGGACTGCCCAGAAATGAAAATGTTATGAAAAGATCCTGTGATTTAGTTTCTTTGTATTTTAGTCCTATGTTTTGTTGTATTTAAATCTTTGTTGTCTTAAACATTTGACATCCACATTTTTGTATGTTGCATTTTAGTCCTGAGTGTGTTTTGTTTTATTTTGTTTTTAGTCCCTTGTAATGAGAATAGTTTCATTTCAGTTCTTAGTATTCAGTACGGTATAATGCTAGCATTTCTACCTTAATTTGTATTTTATTCATAAGTAGGATATTAAAGTTTAATTTAAATATAATTATTTTCTGAAATTTTATAATTTGTTATGCTATGTTTTCGTTGGTTGTGTTTAGGCCACCTTTATTCATTAAGTATAGCTATGTATAGAGTATATATATATATATATATATATATATATTTTATAAAATATGTATGTGATCTTTATTGAAATATCACATTCCGAGCATGTTGTTAGTGTTTGTATATTTAGGTGTAGTTTTTATGCATGTTTAGCCTCATGTGCATGACTCGATCTAATCACATAATCGGAATTAAGGGTAATGCCCTTTTAATCTAAAATTATCAGAATGGCTTTCCTTAACTTACAGGAAAGTTGTTTTGACGATTTTAAATTAAAATGGTATCCCGTCAGTAACGCCTAATTAAATTTGGATATATCATTGTAAAATTTGGGAGAGAAAGAAAAGGAAATATTCGACTATTTAAACTTTTCGAGAAAAGGTCGTTAGAACTGAACTAAAGATCTGGTCTCGATATTTTTAAATAATCGAATATTCTTTATCTTTCTAATGACTTGGTAATTTTAAATTAAATCTATTTTGTTGCTTTGAATGTTGCAAATTTGCATGTTTGTCATTTAAAGGGATCATTAATCAAATCAAATTTGAACTTGTGAAATTCGTTGCAAAGAAATTAATTAATCGACTAGGTACCGATTTAGGGCGTTGTGGGGGTGCTAATCCTTCCCCACGCGTAACCGACTCCCGAACTTGGATTTTGGTAACGTAGACCGTAAATTTGTCGTTTTAATTAAAATTAATTTTTATTTAAAATGACAATGTTTTTTGGGTGCCCAATCACACCCTAATCAAAGATTGGTGGCGACTCCTCGAACCTTATATTTTTATCGTAAAGGAATTTCCAATTTTTCGAAACGAGAGGTTTTCTAAAATCGCACTGTTTTTAATTAAAAATCCAATTGAAAAGATAATAATTAAAAATGACACGGTTTCCAAAATCACCCCGCCGTTTAAAAATCGTTTCGACAGTTTGGTTCACAAAATGTAATATTACTTTTAGGAATAAGATTATTGAAATGTTACATTACTTAATATATTACTTAGAATATTGTATTACCTTATTTTATTTGTTTGGCACGAATGTAACATTACAGTGTTTGGTTGAAAAAATATAAGATAAGAATTATATATTACTGAAATGTTACATTACTTAATATATTACTTAGAATATTGTATTACCTTAATATAAATATATATTTACAATTTGAATTATCAATATTAAAGTCAAAATATTTTTATGAAAGTTTACAGAAAATATAATTTTCTATTATTTCTAATTTATATAATTTTTAATAAAATTTATGTACAAATAACTTAACATATATATTTTTATTTCTTTGAAAATCCAGAAACATACTTACGCGAATATAATTATGTGTTTATTTTTAAGTACTAAAATATTGAGAGATGTACATACTACACCGGTGTAAGTATGTGTTAATTACTATACTTTTTACTTATTCATGCTATATGTATGAGTTGTACAATGAACTATCATATAAAATTATTTAAAAATAATAATATAAAATATAAAAATATAATATAAAAACATTTTATAAAATTAATCGAAAAAATAAACGTAATAAAACACATGCAAAACATAAAATTTGAATCGAACGTATACATAAAAAATAATCAAAATAAAATAAAATTCTTATATATTTTTGTTATACTTTTATTTATATGCATCATATTATTTTATAATAAGTATTAAAAAGTCATAAATCATTAAAAAGAAATAAAATAAATTTATAATCGTGTAATTATATATAAAAGGAACGATTATTTTGAAATAACTATATTATTTCAAGGGTATTATTGTGCTAAGAGAAAGAATTGTCTAATATCTAAGAAAAGGGAGGAAATCCCAAAAATAGCTATTGTAAAAAATACTTCATTATTCCCCAAAAAAAATGCTCTTAAATAAGAAGTTGGTATGTTAATCCAAAAAAAGATTATTTATCATACTAATAATATTTTTCGTGAATCAAATATTTCCTCCAGTTTTATTAGGAGTGGCTCAAATTTATTAATATATTTGGGGTATTCAACTCATGGACCAAATGGATCCAATTGGTATTTGTTTTCACTTCATGTGATCTAAGTTTCAACTTCAAGGCGTGATGATGAGTTGTGAATTAGTTGTTTCGTTATCTGTTGCATGGATACGGACACAAATAAATATCGGGACCTAAACCATAATTTTTTAAAATTGTAGAGTATGAATACAGCAAGAATATGATAGTTAAAAATAAATTTTAAA